TTTCTTAACCCAGATTTTCAGAACAGCTCTGAGCATGTAGTGTACTGCTGTGTCTGCAGCTCACGTAGGCAGAGGTTCACTCTACAAGGGATTCCCCGAGCTTTGCCAATACTGTAGCCATGGAAGCAGGAGATAAAAATATTTGCACAGAATCTGGGGGCAGGGTTTGCAGCCCGTGCTGTACCACACAGTGCTCCAGGGTCGCTGCTAGGAGCTCTGCAGTGCACTGCTGTGACGTGAAGATAGCTTAGGTAGCTAACTGGCTACAATTCTGTGAATTAAGGATAAAAATATCCATTATTTGTCCTGCATTCCCTGGAGATGTCATCTAGGTGGATGTGTTTTGGCAACCCCTTGGAGCTACTGTTCAGCTGCCTATAACTCTGGACCCTCTTGGTTATTTCTTTCATTAGTACCTCCTCTTGGGTACTTACTCCACTTGTGCCTCCATAGGCTGAATTTACTTTTTTTTTTAATCTTTACTATGGATTCAGCATGTCAAAGCCCCTCTTGTCAGACTACTTTATAGTCTGAACGGTGATTAAACCACAGAGGGCGTACCTGAAGTTACTTGTGATTCTGCTCTGTTTGATGTCTATCCATGGCACAGTCCTTGCCTGGTGTCTCTCCTGCACCACTCGTGACTGGTCACCAGTTTCACTTGACACTGGATCTATAGCAGCCTCAGAGCCAGTACGGACACATTGGCCCTGGGTGAGGGTACAGGGTTAGTCACTCGCAGCAAACAATGGCTAATTGTGTTGATGTTTTCCTTTCCTCTAGGAAATAGCTCTGTGTTGTCTATGCTGAACTGCCATCTCACTGCTCTATTTTCTACAGATTCCTAATTTTTACAGAAAAGCTGCTCATTCCTCCGAAGCTGATAGTATGGCCCAGCCTCAGCTCAAGGTGCTTAAATGCATACAAATGATGTTATGAAGAGATTAAGGAATGAACATACCTTGTTGCATAGTGAAAAGCAGCAGTAAAAGACAAGACCCCAGATCTGAATAATGCAAGTCTGACATCCCTTTGTTCCAACCAATACTTTGGAGCGGCCTGTTGGGGACGGGTATCATTGTTACTTACAGTCCTCTGAAAACAAAGGAGCAACACAACAGTGGGCCCAGTGGAGTGTTTCTGAAGACCAGTCTTTCTTGAGTACCCCATGTTCTAGGGGAACTTAAAGGTGGCGTGGACAACTACTTTGCAGCACCTGGTTTCAGTGTTTCCCTCGTGGTTCCAGCCCAAATTACTCTGTGTGCAGGCTAAAGGTAGTCAGTGGAGACTGGTTGCTCTTCTTCCTTGGATATCACCTGGCCTATGCTTGCTTGGGTCCCACCCTTTTCCCAGTGTTTGGTCAAGGGTTGAGTGAACAAGTGAGCTGAAGACAAGCCAAGAGTCAGCAACTTGGTTATGATATCGTTATCTTCAGTACTTTGTGCATAATTTTCCCCATCTACAAACGGAATACTAAGGCTTGTCTGATGTGTAGGCAGCTTGACAACATGGTTAAAGTCTGTAAAGTGCATGGGAATCTTTGGGTGCAGATACTTAATTATTCAAAACTAGAGAGAATTGCTTTTGATGGTATTTTTTCCCGTGTTATGCAGGATATTGGCATACTCTACAGAAAATGGGTACTCCAGTGCAGTCTACTTGACACCAGTAGCTGTTCACAGCAGCTGAACAAACCCTAAAATTATTTAATGATTAACAGAAACTTTTTATTTATTTTGCAATGTATGTTATTCTGTATTTGTGAGTAGTTCATGTCCCTATTGCTCTTAAGTGTGGGGAAAACAGTTGATACTTGAATATTTGTTTAAATGTTTCATGAAAATATTAGTTTTTTATGTTTAATAATATTTAATATTAGTACTTAATTTTCAATCTGAAAGCATAAAAGATTTCAAAGTGCTTATTGGTTAATATGATACAACACACAAAGTATATTCAAAGTGCAGACTCAACAGTGATATGAAACTACCACTAAAGGAGTAAAAAAAGCCAGCTGAAAACCAGCAAATTGCAGTACCAAGTAGCAGTTTACCTCTGTAAATAAGTAAACTTGCTATACTTTTATGGGGCGTGGTCCTGCTTTTTCACAAAGTACATTTGGTCTTTATTAACTCTGTCCTCATTTGTTGATTGTTTGTGAGGAGACAATATCTTTGAATCATAATAGATCTGAGGGTGAGAGTGACATGCTTTCAGTCACTGACACCTGGCCTTTGCTTTCCTACACAACCTTGTATGGTTAGATAGCGTGTCTGTAGATTTGCTTCTGGTTTTTGTTTGTTTGTTTTCATCTGGTGTTTCATCATATCGTTATGGGCTCTGAGTGGCTGATCCCTTGCAAGAGTTACAAATATTTTCTCTGAAATTTCTCATCTGAAGTCAGTTTAGTAGGAAACAATCCCTGAGCAAGTGAAGTTATAGCTGTCGTTATTGTCACTCGGAATATTTTGGATGTCTTGCCAGTTAAAACAACTTGAGGGTACCTTCTCTAGCACCGAACAACTAAGAGGGAGACAAGCAAAGAAGGATGTGACCAGAGGGGAAGGGACAGGAGAGTTGGACAATACTGGCTCTAGTGAAGGGAATTACACTGAAATCAGCAGGTAATACCCAGATTTGGGTACAAGTGACCTGAAACTTCTCCTTGAAAACTTGAAAGGAGACAGTGGATGTGATTTGATGCAGAGGAGGGAAAATTTAAGAATTTTAAAACTTCCCTTTCTATTGCGCATTTTATGAAGAATTTACAGTGTAAATATTACTGCAAAGTATTAAAAATTGTGCATTCCTCTTTTGCTACGCAGGATTGCTGCCCTGTGGAGCAGGGCTGCCATCTCGTGTTAAGTGCCCGCAGAGCTCTGGGCGCGTAGGCAGAAGGAAAGGGGCGGAGGCGGCGGAGGAATGGTATGTTCCCCCTGGAAACGATTGGGAAGGCTTCCAGGAAGTTTCAGGGCTTGATAGTGCTTGACGCATGTTCAGCAGATCCAAATGTCTCTGCTTGCTTCAGGCTTTTACTGTGGAGTAAACAAGAGCCTTCCAGGAAATGGTCTGCAGCTTGGTGGAGAAGTCAGGCTTGAAATGGACTTCAGAGAGCAGCTGATGAAATAGGTCTCCAGTAGATGTTGCACAAACAGTTGTTATTATTATTTCAAGCCTGCTGTATAGCAGAAGAGACACTTATATGTCACTTATTTATTTACTCCATTCCAGTTTATCACTCATTAATGGTACAGTTAGGTAATGACTAGGCAATTCAGGAACCAGTTTGTGACCTAGGAAATCAAGACCCTCATTAAATTCCGTTGGATTCAAAATTCCTGTGACCAGACAAGGTTTGGGACATTTTGGTTGTTCAGTTCTGCTTTATGCTATCTTATCAACCTTCTGTAAAACTCTCTATGGCTGTAATCTCAACAGCAGTTACATTCCTAAATATGTCTGGGGACCTGGTCCTTGTTCTCCTTATCCACAAAATAACCATATTTTCTGTATTTTCACAGGAGTGTTGTGAAGATCAGCAAATTAAGGACAGTGAGAATATGGGTACTCCGGTAGGAAGGGCAATGCAGGCACTTCAGAAAGATGTGATATCCGTGACCTGTGCATTCATGTCAACATTAACATATGCATGCAATTCATTCATGCCTGCTTATGATCTGATATGGGATGTCCTTCTGCTTTAATGTTTTCAGTTGCCAAACCTGGGGTAGACACTATACAGATGTTATTCAACAGTTAACCTTCTCATGAGTACTTAGTCCAAGAAAATATTTTACAGACGGTCCATAGCTGTATTCATCTAAACAGTTTGATTAGTATTTCTGGATGATTCAAAACATTTGTATCAATCAGGGAAGACTCACAAATTATTTCTTTTTGAGAAATGGCTTAAATATTTCAAATGGTTTTATTTAATTTGATCTGCTTTTGACAGCAACATTAGGAATAATTAATAAATGATACAATACGGATGGAACTGAAATGTGATTGAGCTTTACTTCAGAAGTAGTGTTCCTGCTCCTCCCCTTGTTTGAACTGTTATTGCACATATATATTTTTAATTCAAATATAAGAGATTGTCACTACTATTTCAGAATTGCTATATGTCATATTCATAACCAGTCTGTATTCATTCTATATATCCTGTGGGGCACTATACTGCATATACTACCAAATGTATGCTATCTTTTGTTTACATGCAGATTTTGTTACCACACAGCTCCTTCTTTTTGTTTGTTTGTTTTTTAATTTACTATAAATGGTTGGCACTTTCCAGAAGTTTGTTGTTATTATTAGGTATTAAGACCTTCTCACATGTCATTCTTTTTCCTGTTGTGAAAACCTATCTGGTTTTCCACTTTTTTTTGCCTCACTGGAGGCAAGCAGAATGAGACAGCATCTGTAATCTCCCTGCAGGTCACTAGCCTGCAAAGTGACTCAGCAGCTCGATCTTGCTGCCTGCTTGTTTGTGCAAAGGGTGATACCAGTGAGGTGTGCATTTGTAATAAATGAACATGGGGAAGGCCAATTGTTGATTATCTCAAGGAGCTGTCAAAAGGAGCCATCAAAATATGCTAGATCTAAAACTATTTTAGTCTCTTTTTTATTCCCTTTCTCATTAGACTAAGGAGTTTAATCTGATATTCCTAAACCCGTTCAGAAGAATTAGTATCCGCCTGTAACTATTCTGTATTATATGCCATTCAGTAAAAACAGGCACTAGTGTCCTGGGAGGGTTGGATGGGCATCCTTGCCCTCAGCAGATGTATGCAGTTTTTCCTCCGGCACTGGATCCAGGTCTGGCACTTTCTGCCCTGTCTTGGCAACTGTGAATCTGCTCATGTGCAGAGCTTCTTCATAGACTGGAGGAGTGTCTGATGCTGAGAGGGGTGGCGTTCCCTGCGCAGTATTATGGGAGCGTGCCACTGCTAATATCCTCCTGGCAGCAGGCCCAAACACAGAATGGAGAGCTGAAAGGGAGGAGAAAAATGCCATTTGCCTCATCCTGAAAGCACCATGTGATTAGAGGAGGACAAGTATATCTGCAGCGCACAGGCTTTTCTCTCCGCACAGCCTGAATGTTTTCCTTTTCCTGCCCCTTCATCCTCCCCTAAAAGGGAGGTGTGTTAAGCCCCATCAGCAACATCCCACAATTGCTCCTTTCTCAAATGCCACCAAGACCCATAGCTGCCCTAATTCTACCCAAATATTTCTCAAAGCTGATTCACCATCTGGCTGCATTTGCTACATGAAGCCTGGTGAGCACATTAATTTGTACTATGCACAGGTCTTGCTTTCCCTGCACCCTGCTATGAACTTCCCTCTGCCAGCCTTGGGGTGCTGCAATGTGGGCTTTTTACAGTGCAGCCCCTCACATCAGGCTGTGCTGAGGTCCACAGCCTCTGTCAAAGCCAACTCACAGGTAATGGTGCTCTGGAGGGTGTTGTCATGATCAAAAGCGATAACGGTGACCTGGTAGGGCTGAGGACCTGATTCCTCCCCTGTCTGACGGCAATGAAAACAGCATCTCACGCAGACGGAAACCAGGCCACACAGGAGCAACAGCCCACCGATCACCACCACCAGCCTGGAAAGGGAGAGGACACAGATTTAGGACAGAAAGACTTTGTTTTCAGGGGACATTTTAAGGTCTCTCCCTGCTTGAAGTAGGGCTGACCTCAAAGCTAGACACGGTCATTTGGACCCTTGTCCACCAGAGTTTGGACAGTCTGCAGAGATGGATATCCTGTGTCCCCTCCGGGCACCCATTCCAGTGCTGCACCACCCTTGGGGGAAGCATTTTTTCCTTCTGTCTAATCAGAGTTTCGCCGGATGCAGCTTGGCCAGTTGCCTCAGGTCCTTCTGCTGGGCACCTCTGAGAAGACTTTGGCTCAATCTTCTCTCTAGATCCACTTTAGATAGTGGAAAACTGCAGTTAGGTTGCCCCCTTAGCCGCCTCCAGGCTGAACAAACTTGGTCCTTTCAGTCCTTCCTCACACACCATGTCCTCTGGACCCCTGGCCATTTTATTGGCTCTCCAGTGGACTTGCTCCAGTTTGTCAACATCTTTCTTGTACTGACGGACCACAACTGGACTAAGACTGGACCATATATTCCAGATGTGGCCTCATGAGTGACAAGCAGAGAGGAGAAATCGTATCTCTCAATCTACTGGCTGTACTATTATTAATGCAGCCTTGTAGACGTCAAACAACTACCATCCTTTTTAATCTCATCCTGTTGAGAATTACTAAGGAACCAGACTGAAATTACTTTAAAAATGGGCCTTTTTAAAGGCATATTGTGCTATGAATGCTTTAGTAATATTGCTCACCTGACTAAATTAATATGTGGAATAAAAAAGGAGGCTGGCAAGTCAACATTTGTTAAAGACAATGCGATAGCTAAGGGATTTTCTTGCTACTGTAGAGCATTAGTGTCCCAAGGGAAAGCAGGGGGTGGCATCACACTTGAGTGGGTCACATTTAATCCCACTCTTTGCTGCTGGAATTGTCCAGTGATGCAGATATTTAAAGTAAACGTATGGCATCTTACCAGATATACCACAAACGGTCCCACTCTGTACCTGAACAGCTGCGGAGAAGAGGGTACAACATACAGTTAGCCACAGAATGCCAAATAAATGGGAAGATCCCTACTGTATCCTCTTCCAGCTCCCCTCATGCTCCTCAAGCATACACTCCAGCTTCTAAATGGCACAGTGATGAGAAACTCATTGTGCTTTGGGTAGGAGACACTTGTCCAACCTCATCAATCTCCCTGTTATGTGAGTTTGCCTTCTCTTTGGCTTTATATCTTTATTGTTCCCCTGATACTTGTGCCCACCCAACTCTGTTTTCAAAGCTTAGGGATCTGCATCATCTTATAATTTCTGAACTTCCCTGACTTCCCTTCTTTTATATATTTTTGTCACAATTTAGTCTGCCCAACCCTGTTATCTTTTGCTTTGGGTTTGTTTTTTTTTTTCTCCTGACTTTCTCTTTGATTTCTTTCTGTCCCTGTGGGTACATTTTGGATGCTGTGTTGTATGTTCCTTTAGTTTTAGTTAGTGGACCTGCCTGTGCATTTTTAAAGACACAAAAAAGTCAAAAAAGACGTAGTCAAAAAGAATCCTCCTAGGCAATTTTTCATATTTGCTTTGTCTTGATTTCTGTTATTCTTACAAATGACATTGCCAAGTGGAATATTCACCAAAGCACTATGTTTCAAATAATTTTTCAAAGAAAAGTCACAGAATAACAGAATCACAGTATTTTCAGAGTTGGAAGGGACCTCTAGAGATCATCTAGTCCAACTCCCCTGCTAAAGCAGGATTGCCTAGAGCACGTTACTCAGGACTGCATCCAGGCGGGTCTTGAAAATCTCCAGAGAAGGGGACTCCACAACCTCCCTGGGTAGCCTGTTCCAGTGCTGAAGCAGGTAAATTCCAAATTTATAATTCCAGTCAATCAAACCAAAATCACACCAGAAAGTTCTTAACCATTACAGTTATCCAAATCGGTAGCAGGAACAGTGGCACACGATCAGTATGCTCAATAGATAGTAAATAATACACTTCACATTCAAAGCAATGGAAATTTTATGTGAGTTTTCAATAGTTGCCATTAAAGTAAGCTTTTCTGGAAAATGTCATCCACCATGTCTTAACACTGATGTCTACTACTGCCTTTGTTCTTCATTGCCTTCTCAAGAGAGTGCAAGATCAACAAATACTTACAGTTCAGTGTTGAGACAGCCTTCCTCACCTCTCACTTGGGAGAACTACAAGCAGAAAACCAAATAAGACACAGCTAGAGTGAATTAACTCTTTGTCATATGCAACTTTTATTTCTGGTCACCGGGACTACTACCAGCCTAAATCTCCTACAGTAAGCACTTACTGTTATCTATCTTCTGTTGTTTCCATCATATATTCTGCTGTAGATTTGATGTTACTGTGATAGCAACTGCATTGTTTCATATCTTAACTTCCTGTAGTCATTATAATCCTACTTAGCACTGTTCCCAGCACAGATCCTGACTCACCTTCACCCTCACCACAGGTTTCCCTTTCCCCACCCCAAGCTATGTCATGCTACAGGTGTAGATCCTTCTCCATGCTCAAATATTGAGAACCTTTAAATGTCCTACTTCATATTATACCCAAACTGACTTGAATGCTGCTCTGTCCCTCCACTCCTACCCTTCTCATTCCTTTTCCTTGGGTATCCTGACCTCTGTGTTATCATCCCTGGAATAGCAGCAAATATTCTTCTCTTTTGCATGTCTGCCTTTTTTATGTCCAGTTCTTTCAAATGTCAGGGAAATTATTGTTACTGTCAATTGCTAATGCCCTTCCATCTTTCCAAGGTAACTCCATAACTGAGCAAAGACCCCATAAAAAGTAATCTGAGATGTGACTTACCCGTAATAAACACCCTAAAACAAAGCAGATCATGACTGGGCTATGCATGCCTGCAGGGTGGTCCTGTGGCCTCTTGGTGTCTCAAGCTGCTTGATGTCTTCTTGTCCTTTCAGTTTCAGTTCATCCTCACTAGTCCACTGATCAGGAGAAGGAGCGGATTCCTTGTTGTGCGTTGAATCCAGTCTCTTCTTCCTGCCCTACCTCTTTCTGTCCTCCTCTGCGTCTAGCCTTCTTTGCGCTTCAGATTTTTGCTTTCTCTCTTTTGTTTTTTGTCACTGGCAATTCCCGTTTGTTTCTGCCTGTGTCCTTTTGCTATTTTCTTGGCCTGCTTCTCTCCCTCTTTTGAAGGGATCTCTAAAGCCTTCCAGTCAGATCAGGAGAAAAGCGGTGGCTGCAAGTTCTTACTTTAGATGTTGAACTAGTTCAGTGAAGGGCATCGTGAGATCTCTGCAGACCTGACCGTTCCCTTCTCTGAGCAGAAAGGGTCTCTGAGTTTGTTGATTCCCAGTTATTCCTCTCCCCGCCCCTACCCTGAGGGGGGTGGGTTGAAGGTCATGTTATTGACCTGTTTAAATGCAGTTCAGATTCCTCCCCCTCCTCCAGTACCTTTTCTGTCCCTGCACTCATTGTCCTACCTCTGTGGAGCCAATCTATTCACTTTAGCCATATGATCAACATCCAGCGTGTATATTACTCCTGCTGAAATGAAAGAGTTTGCAATAAAATAATTATATACAGCATTTTATATACATATATATGTAAAACTATATACAGCATATGCAACACCTCTTGTATCTCCCATTTTAAGGCTCTGCCACCATCCCTCTTACCTGATAGTCTGCTATGTCAGTCCTGCAACTGACGGTCTGCTCACTCACAGGTCCCACTCCTGAACTTCCTACATGCCCAGCCAAGTCCCCCGAAATACTTTGCATCACAGGGAATACATGTTGATTCTCCTATCCTGGATACTGTTTGTCCTGCAGCTGATTATATTAGTAGGTTCCATTCAACGACCCATTAATTTTGTCTCTCTTGTAGAACTGCTTTAGATTTCTATTACTGCTTGTGGCTATTCAGAGTGTTATTACATGCAGATAATTGTGTTCACCTTCTCTTTCTCTTTTGAATAGCCGAGAGAGAAAAAAATGCTAAGAAGTAATGTGTTACTATTTGTGGTTGGGAACCACCTGGGACTGGTGCATAAATACACGTTAAGGTCAAGACAGCAACGAGAGAAACTTGTTGCTCCATGTTGCAGTCACAATGCATTCACATTAAACGGGTGAATCATTAGCCTTGGTGATCCATATTAGAGTTGCAGAGCAGAACCAATGGATTCGTGAACATAATGTATTCTCCCAAGGCAGGCTAAAAAACATTTACCATTCCCTAATTATTAAAGTAGTGGTGCAGCATAAACATGGGGTGTAAGCATGCCCTTCTTTATATATTTATGTCCATTTGTCTGTCTATCTATCTATCTAAACTAGTCTGCTAGTGGAAGAAGCTTTCTGAGTCCTGGTGGACAAATAAGAAACATAGAAACATGAGCTATTGGCTTTGTGTTTACATGGGAATTGCCCAATATTCTTTTTGTCTCTTTATCCTTAAATTCTTTTGTGCATTATAGGAGTTTTAGAGGAAAAGACCCAGCAGAACTGTACAATAACCTTTCTCGTATGTATGGCTTTTAAAACCAGTGGGATTCAATGTGGAAAAGAAGTGCAAATTACCAGTGTTTTTCAGGGGCTATAATTCAATAGATTATATTTTGATTTTTAACTGAAATTCAATCCCATGACAATTTCAAATTCTAGAAGGATCAAACTGGAGAAATATCAGATAAAGTGGTAAAAAAATTCCCTAAAGAAAAAGCAGCAGTGTGACTTGAAACAGTGACCCCTACAAGAGCATATCATAAGTCATTCTTGCTGAAACTTATTGATCATTCTTTTTCTATTTCTATGACATTGCCATTAATACTGTACTTCCAGTAATCCAGTAATGGCCCTGCGAGGCTGTCATCCAACAATGGTTTAAATTTCTCCACGTTGCCCTGGTATTTTGCCTCTATTATCTCAATTTTTTATTTTTCTTTGTTTTATGTTATATTGAAGTGACTTTTCTCTTTCATATTTTCCCCTCACCACCTTTCGAAAGGTTTTAAAAATGTGATCAGGCTCTTACAGAACTGCTAAAACAAAGATATCTCACCATTGACTTTTCACCATTTTTTGTGATTGTTTAAAAACTAAGGGTCCATGCCATAGTAAGCTATGTGATTTGAACATAACCTTCCTTGGATGCCAGAAAAAGCAGATTGTGGCATGGACAGAAAATACTTCTGTCCTCTCTGCCTTGCTGTTCTGGTTGTATGAAGGGTTGTGTGTCAAGCCTGTTCTAGCTTTTATTTCCTGGGTAGCATGATCTTAACTGGGAGTAAAGCTTCCTAAAGAGCTGAAAAAAGTGCTGTTGTACTGCTCTTAGTAGTTGTTGAGAAATTGTTGCTTGCTTCCAGTTACTCTTCAAAGGAGTATTCCTCTAGAGCCAACTTGATTAATCATACCCAATACTTCCCCAAGGGTATTTAGAAATGTAAAAACGGCTGCTTTTTAAGAGGGGAGTCACTACCAGTACCTCTATTTTATAGGAGCTCACAACTGCAAAGCCTTGGAGAAATCTGAAGTCCGGAAAGTCCTCAGAGCTGTCTCCTTTCAAGGAATTCACAGAATTCACAGAATTGTTAGGGTTGGAAGGGACCTCTGGAGATCATCTAGTCCAACCCCCCTGCCAGAGCAGGGTCACCTACAGCACGTTACACAGGACAGCGTCCAGGTGGGTTTTGAATGTCTCCAGAGTGGGAGACTCCACCACCTCTCTGGGCAGCCTGTTCCAGTGCTCCATTACCCTCAAAGTAAAGAAGTTCCTTCTCATGTTAAGATGGAACTTCCTATGTTCAAGTTTATGCCCATTACCCCTCGTCCTATCACTGGGCGCCACTGAAAAAAGACTACTCCCATCCCCCTGGCATCCTCCCATTAAGTATTTGTATGTATTAATAAGATCCCCCCTCAATCTTCTTTTCTCTAGACTAAAGAGACCCAAGTCCCTCAGCCTTTCCTCATAAGAAAGGTGCTCCAGTCCCCTAATCATCTTTGTTGCCCTGACATTACCTCTCCTTGACAGAAAATGTGACAGAGGGTTCAAGAGCAGCAACTCATTGGAGACAGGGTAAGACACTCATGTAAATTAACCTGTGAGATGGGGTGCTGGGGGATTATATTCTGTAATACCTGGTGCTCATCCTTGTTCCCAAGTTAACAGCTGGTGAGACCAGCAGTTCTTGGGCCGTGTGCAGTAGAGCCATATGAAATAAAACTGGAAGTTCAAGTCTCGTTCCTGTCATTTCACCAGCAGACCTAGAAATACCAGGAAACCTAGGACCAGTTAAGTTTCTCCATCTTATTCCTTGTGCTCAGAATTCAAAAGAGCGTTGTGCAGGTGCTCAAGCTGACAGGTGACCCCTCCTAGGACCCGGCGGCAGCCCTAGTGCGATGGCATGCTGCTGTGCTCTGTTGCTAAAAGGCTGGGATTACCACGTGGGACTTGGCTTAGACTGCTTCCAGGCCAGAGCTAGTCCAGGAGCACAGCATCATACTCTGGTGCGTGAATTTTCTGCCCATGCTCCCCATTAGTTCAGTAGATTTCTTCAGCTCATTCCCTTGTACATTGCAGACATACCTGCAACAGCAACTGGAAAACCTGGACGCATTTCTTTGTGTCCTAGGAGTGGGCAATGTCTGTGACAAGTCCATGTGCTACACAATCAGGACAAGTGTGATGTTCTTACAAGCAATAAGCAAAGGCGATGAGTATGTTTCTCACTTTATTTTACCTCCGATCCTCTGTGCACCTTGAGAGATCGAGGAGCCCTTCTGGCTGAATTTACTGAATATTAATCACTGTATAATAAAGCCAGGAAACAAACTCCCCTGCTACTGAAAAACTTCAAGGAATTGTTTAGACTTAATCCAAAATTAATGTAATTTCCTCTTCACCTCTCCCCTTCCTTCTTTTTCTTTCTGCAGAAACGATGTACCCCCAAATTGGGTAACTCTATGCATCTGTCCCAGGAAGTGAGAACTGTGAGATATCCATGTCCCATTGCATTTTTGCACACACTGGAGATTTAAATACTGTTCTGGGACTCTGCTTCACGTAAACAACCCCAAGCATCGCTTTGTCATGAAATCCTTTACTATGAGTCAAAAACCCCTTCTGACTGCCACATGAATCACTCTGTTAGCTCCCAATGACACTGACCGTTTGTTTGATCTGTTTTGAAGCCAGAACCTTGTCTCTGTTTCTCCTGTGGGAGCAACCAAATTTTTGAATTCTCCTGTAACCTTGCCAGAAATGGCAAGTGAAGAAGTGACATATGCGGACCTGAGGTTCACGACATTGGAAAAATCCCAGGACCAGGAGTTCCAGACTGCCAGAGCGAAAGGTAGTGCTGGTGTTGGGGGGCAGTTCACTCCAAGGCAAACTCTCACCTTGGAGAATATTTGTTATGTGACACTCAGAGGAGGATGTCACCTACCAAAAAGCATCTCAGCTTCTGGGAGGCCTTTGGACTCAAATCTTCTATGAAATTTGAGGGACAAAAGAAAAAAGGCAGGAAATTAAAAAGAATGGAAGGGTGGAAAATGTGGGAAAACTGTTTAGATTTGAGAGGAGACATACAATTAAGGTTATGGCATGCAGTTAAGTAAAAATAAACATGTTCCAGTTAGGCATTAAGTGTCAGCTCCTGGAAGTTAGGGAAGTAATCTGCCTAAGGGACCTTGTAAAAGTCTTTCAGCTTTACTTATTTGAATCTGACTAGCTGAATGAAGTAAATGCTAGGGAAAAAATATATTTTCTCTCAAGGGAAGGAATAGATGGCCAAATACCTTTTTGTACTTAAAAATTATAAAAATGATGCTACATAGCTTCACCGAGGAAGGGAGGAATGTGGCTGATCCCAAAACTATATTCTTTATGCTGCCCATGCTCCCCATTAGTTCAGTAGATTTCTTCAGCTCATTCCCTTGTACATTGCAGACATACCTGCAACAGCAACTGGAAAACCTGGACGCATTTCTTTGTGTCCTAGGAGTGGGCAATGTCTGTGACAAGTCCATGTGCTACACAATCAGGACAAGTGTGATGTTCTTACAAGCAATAAGCAAAGGCGATGAGTATGTTTCTCACTTTATTTTACCTCCGATCCTCTGTGCACCTTGAGAGATCGAGGGGCCCTTCTGGCTGAATTTACTGAATATTAATCACTGTATAATAAAGCCAGGAAACAAACTCTCCTGCTACTGAAAAGCTTCAAGGAATTGTTTAGACTTAATCCAAAATTAATGTAATTTCCTCTTCACCTCTCCCCTTCCTTCTTTTTCTTTCTGCAGAAACGATGTACCCCCAAATTGGGTAACTCTATGCATCTGTCCCAGGAAGTGAGAACTGTGAGATATCCATGTCCCATTGCATTTTTGCACACACTGGAGATTTAAATACTGTTCTGGGACTCTGCTTCACGTAAACAACCCCAAGCATCGCTTTGTCATGAAATCCTTTACTATGAGTCAAAAACCCCTTCTGACTGCCACATGAATCACTCTGTTAGCTCCCAATGACACTGACCGTTTGTTTGATCCCAGCCAGAACCTTGTCTCTGTTTCTCCTGTGGGAGCAACCAAATTTTTGAATTCTCCTGTAACCTTGCCAGAAATGGCAAGTGAAGAAGTGACATATGCGGACCTGAGGTTCACGACATTGGAAAAATCCCAGGACCGGGAGTTCCAGACTGCCAGAGCGAAAGGTAGTGCTGGTGTTGGGGGGCAGTTCACTCCAAGGCAAACTCTCACCTTGGAGAATATTTGTTATGTGACACTCAGAGGAGGATGTCACCTACCAAAAAGCATCTCAGCTTCTGGGAGGCTTTTGGACTCAAATCTTCTATGAAATTTGAGGGACAAAAGAAAAAAGGCAGGAAATTAAAAAGAATGGAAGGGTGGAAAATGTGGGAAAACTGTTTAGATTTGAGAGGAGACATACAATTAAGGTTATGGCATGCAGTTAAGTAAAAATAAACATGTTCCAGTTAGGCATTAAGTGTCAGCTCCTGGAAGTTAGGGAAGTAATCTGCCTAAGGGACCTTGTAAAAGTCTTTCAGCTTTACTTATTTGAATCTGACTAGCTGAATGAAGTAAATGCTAGGGAAAAAATATATTTTCTCTCAAGGGAAGGAATAGATGGACAAATACCTTTTTGTACTTAAAAATTATAAAAATTATGCTACATAGCTTCACAGAGGAAGGGAGGAATGTGGCTGATCCCAAAACTATATTCTTTATGCTATGCATTAGTGCTTTAGAATTGCTCTGTATGAGTTAGTAGCTAAGCAAAGAGATGTTATTTTCTAGCCTGGCTAAATGTTGAGATGAATTTCATAAATTTGGTAATAATCTAGTCGATTAAAGAGCTTTTTCTGAAGGAAATTTTCCCGTATTGGTTAGCCAGTGATTATCACATTCTCACTTTTTGAGGGGTCCTTAAGTTTTATACTTGAAGCCTGAAGCTGAACTACCAGTAATCTAGCAGACTTCTCAAGTGTTTGGTTAGGGTTAGGGATCACAGGGGATAAAAGGCAGGAATACCACAGTTTGGTATGAAGTATTCCCATGGAAATTTCATACTGGAGTCTAATAAAAGAACACAAAAGTCTTAAATTGGAAGCAATCCTTTCCTCTCTGTTTTGGGAGTCTGTGTGAATTCATGTGGGTGTTTGCATCTGCCCACATTGCAAAAACAGGTATGTGCATTTCCAAGTGTGAGACTGTATAACTGCAGGTATGTGGTCTTGTTCACATCTGTATGCCCTAATTTCAGATTATTTTACAGGGATCTGGCTTTCATTGGTGACTGTTCCTGGGGTTATTTTCTGAAAAGGTGAATTTATTCCTGATTTGGCAGATTAGGCACTCAGAAGTAAAACTACCCCAAAGTAAAAACACCTGGCTGCATATGAAAATTTCAGCCAAGCACAAATTCTTCCTTGATATTCTTTCCCCACATGTGAAATCCTCTGTTGTTCAGCTTTTTTTGTCCAATTCATTTTCCCTTAAAGTCTCCTGGCTAAGGTAGTCTTCATGGCTTGCTCACTTCCCAGCCCCCAACTCCCAAGGAGGACTTGCCATGGTCAAACAATGGGACAATTTTCATGATGTAATACCACATACCAGTTTGAAACTCATCAATTCACTGGGCAGACTACCAGTCATGTTGTCTTGTGCAACATAGGAGCTGCAGATACAAAGATGAGAGGTTCCTGTTCTTGCTGCTTTTCCTTCTTTTTGTCTCAGATTCCCCCAGTCCATCTTCGTGTTGGCGACTGGCTACAGTGGTGCTTGGGGTCTTCTGCCTAAGTTCAGTGGTAGCTGCAGGAGTCTTGGCTGCCAGGTGTAAGTATGGTCACAGAAAGGGTGCTCAGAGTCCCATATGAACAACTAAAAGTCTAGGAATTTATTAAGGAAAAGAATTAGCCTAGGGGATTAATGATGCAAAAAACTGTCCCTTGCTGGAAGAGTTTACCCACTCAAGAGATCACCCAGTCTTTGAAATTGGGATGTATTACATCTTGCTCATAGGTGTGCACAAACTGTATGTAGGTCGAGTATATTCAGTCATGGGGAGGTATGTGTGTCTTTGGTAAGTTTATTCAGGTTGCATTGAGCAGTTTAGCTTTAATATTTATGGAACAATTTCATTCTTGTTTCCCTGTGATTCAAGTCAACCTGGTGTGCCACCTTGTGCGTGAAAGGGATGAAAACTTCACCCTGCAAAAGGCAATTGTGGAAAGCCTCAACCAGCAGCTGGAGCTCCTCCAAGCTCAGAATTTGAACTTGTCAGAGACTGTAAAGCAACTTGCCACCTCCAGAGGTACATAGCGGTGGGAAGATGGCGGTTCCATTGCATTGTGGTAACCACAGATTGATTTTTTTTCTATCAACCATATTGGAAGGAAAAATCAAAAGCTCTAAAATTGACCTGAATTATTTCATTTAAAAACAAATTTCAACTGAGTCAATCAAAAGGCTACATTTCCATTTTGATAATTTTTTAAGTATCAGTCTTTCTGAGGTATTTTTTTTTTGAGTTTTTGTAATGGAGCTGGATTATACCCTAAACCAAATATTTTCATTCAGAAAATACTATGATGATGATACTTTAAAGAAAAAAGTAAGTCTTTTTAATAGGTAAATTCACTGATGCTACCATTCCTTCTTACACAGTAAGTTTCAGTGAATTATCATAAAAAAATTTTGATGGAAAATTCCTACTGGCTTTAGTTGTCTGGAACGCTTTGACTCCTGAAGACAACTTTATTCTGTTATGCAGTAGTGGATGCAGCAGTGTAAATACTGCTACTCTCTACCAAATGGGACTGCAATCACTGGCTTTAGCAGTTTACAGACTATATGCTGAGGGTATTTTTTTTTCTTGTGCAAAATAATGGTGTGAAACTTTAATGATGGGTGAGCTGATTATGTTAGATTATCATATAGCAGAGGGAAGAGAATCATAATAAATTAACATCTTGTGAGAGAGTAGCAAGGTTATTATCTATGAAAATTGTCTGCATTTGAATTTAGCGCAAACCAGAAGCTACTTGTAAGAGTCCAGTGCACTGTGCTGTGCTATCTATTGCCACCCAGCATCAAGTCCTAGCATTCCCAGCTGGCACTGGTTTGTTACAATATAAAATGGTCCTGCAAACTGTAGAACAATGAACATGATTCACCCTATAGTTGGGACCCACTTCCCAGAGATCTCAAAATATTTTGTCTGGCAGGTCAATTACAATTGTGTTGTAAAGCACATAGCAGGGAAGAGCTGGCGCTAATGTTAACAAGAAATTAAAAGTAAGTTCACACGAGTAGAGACGTACCTGTATGGCTGAAAGTCTAGGCTTCCTTTTACGTCAACCTAGATCCATGTCTCTCTGAACATAGCTCAACCTTCCAAAATTTTCTGTTTGTTTTACTAGCACCCTCCAGGCTTGCTGGTCAGATTCAAAACATCTTTATTGTTTGGTTTTCTGATTTTCATTTAGAAATGTTTTTTCTGGTCTTCTGACAACTGGGTTTATTAAGTCTCCAATGAAGACATGAATGTAGGCCCAGAATGAAGGAGGAATTGTTGCTCCTCTGTGACAAGGAGGCTGTGCACTGCTTCAGTGATCCTGCAGGTAGACCACTAGAGACTGCCGTCACTGACAAACCTAATCAGGTGCTCTTTTGTTTTCAAGGACATAAATGTATCCCTTGTCCTGAGAACTGGCTACAGTATGGGGACGACTGCTACTACTTTTCAAAGGAATGGAAAACTTGGCAAGAAAGCAAGGCTCAATGCTCTGGTCTGGAGTCCAGACTTCTTAAGATAGAGAGTAAGGAAGAGCTGGTAAAGATTATTTTTTTCTCTCTCTCTAATGATACACTCTGCATTTTGCTGTGGCCTGAAGAGCCACTCCATCCTTTCACTGGTGCTATGGTATGCTATGGCATGCATGGGCTGGACCAAGTGGCAGAAACTGTCCATGTCCCTTTGGAGCCCGTCTGCCTGTATTGAGGCTGCACCCTCCCTGGGGCATCTCTACTGACTTCGGGGGAGTTAACTGGAACACACCAGCTTGGGTCTACATCTAGATCCTTATCCCACCTCAGGGCAAATGTAACTGTGCTAGTACTGGTTGGCAACACTTTTGTTGTCTTGCCAGAGCAAACTGTTTAGCAATCATCAGAAGCCTGGCCTTCAGTTTCTTGCTTTCCACAACTAGAAAGCTCAGCAGCCTGGCCTGCTCCCTTCTCACACATGATGATCATATCTTTTTCTGACTCCTATGTTGTAGATGAAACAGCAGATAAAGCACAGCCAGAAGAGCTCTTCACTGTGAAGGATTTTCAACCCAGATGCTTAATGGCAATGGGATTACGTCTTGCACTCCGTGGTTTTATTGTCTCTATTTTGAATTTCCTGTGTACAATGATAGCAAATGATGCAAGGACCTTTTCCTGGTTGACTTATGCAACCAGGGTGTTGGAAGGAAGTCATTATCCTATACCCATTATCCAGCTAACTTCAGTTATCTTGGTACTACTGAGAGCTACTGAAAGCTCTCAGCAGGTTCATTTTCATTATCTCCAAAACAGCACTGACTGCCAGGAGTAGGAGGCACTGCCCAGATTCACTTGCAAAATAAAGGCTGTTACGCACAGGCGTGAGCAGCTTACTTTCATTTGCCTCTCTCCTTTTCCAAATCGTAGGCCATTATGAGTGAAGCAGGGATGTGATTCACAGGTTTTGCACTTATTTCTGTACAGGACTTTGTAATGCGATCAGCACAGTCTTACAGTTCTTACTCTTTCTGGATTGGGCTGTCTCGCAATGGAACTGAGGGGCCCTGGCTGTGGGAGGATGGATCAGCTTTCTTCCCTGATCTGTAAGTCGCCGCATAGATAGGAGCAGTCCATGTCCATGTGTATTTGTTATGAGCCAGAAACAGCAACCTTTAACCACCACTCAGTAATCTCCTGTCCCCCCACCTATTTGCCAGCGGATGGGTTACCCATCACTCACTTACTTATCAGCCTAGGCAAGCCCCCATCAGAGCGTTGCGCTTGTATACTATTGGGGGTCAAATGGGTAGCAGCAGTTGAGAATTATTATATCAGCCTGTGACTTTTTCCATGGGATGATGAATATCTCTGCTATTTTTTCACAGGTTTCAGATCCGACGAGCCAGCTCAAGTCCTTTCCTGGACTGCGTGTGGCTTCAAGGTGCAAACATAGACACTGCACGGTGTGGCGAGTACAAATTTTACATTTGTGAGAAAGTGGTGGATCCTGCGGTGGTTGAGGAAGTGAGCTACTTGGACAGGCACTAGTGTGCAGACCTCTGCAGAGACCCCTGTCTTGACATGCGCTGTTGTGAGGGCAAGCTCAGGGTTTGCAATAGGGAAAACAAGTCTGAGCTCAGGGTAATGTAACATCAGGGATAATATAAGGTTATCTTGCCCTCTGGCACATCAGCCAGACTCGTTCTTGGGCTTTTTCTTCAACAATTTAATGCCCTCTTTTTTCTTTCAGACCTTGTATCCTTGTGTAATCACTTCTATCCATTTCTCATAAATTCCTTTCTAAATGAAACAAAATTATGTATATGATGCCAGAACTCTATTTTAAAGCTTCATACCTATCCCTCAGAAACAGGAGTCAATGACCGTTTGCAAGAGCAACATATCACATTTTAGAAATTGGGTATTCACAGGATGTGAGCTCCCAATTTACAATAAAGTTCTCAGTATTTGATTTAATTTCACTCCCCATCTGCTGATAACCAGGCAGGGCAACAGAATCAGAGCCTGAATTAAAAGACAAGTAAAAATATTTCTAGTTCTCCTGGTTAAAGAGAAAAGCTTTCAAATGGGATTGCATGCCCTATGGGCTCAAAAAACAGAAGACAAATACACAACACACCTTTATTGAGGAAAGTCAGCAAAATTTAAAGCCCAGGAATGC